TAATAATACATATTTATGTATTTTAAATTTATAATCAGTCTGTATGTGAATCTGGGTTCTTGCCTCTTCCCTCCACATGCTACATAATCCCCATGTTCAGCATTATTAATAAAAAGAGGCAGGTAGGGCTCTCTTCTTTATGTGGTTTCATTGGATCCTTAAAACAATTCTGTGAGCAAACCTGAGACTCAGAAGGATGAATCAGCTTGGCAAAGGTACACAGCAAACAAGTAGTGTCTCTGGGATTTCACCCTGATGTGTCCAACTCCACTAAAAACTACTGTTGCATTACTGGGAAGAGTCTACAATTCCAGTATTGTTTTTATTTGTTTTAACTTAGAGCCATGAGAATTTATCTTTGTCATTAAAGGCTCTAAGTAGGGCAGCCCGGGTGGCTCAGCGGTTTAGCACCGCCTTTGGCCCAGGACGTGATCCTGGAGACCCGGAATCGAGTCCCATGTCATGCTCCCTGCACGGAGCCTGCTTCTTCCTCTGCCTGTGTCTCTGCGTCTCTCTCTGTGTGTCTCTCATGAATAAATAAAATCTTAAAAAAAAAAAAAGAAAGGCTATGAGTAAACAATCCCTTAGATGCCTGCATCTCATCCAGCAAGTGGGTACATATACTATATTTCATGATTCCTCTAATATTTACTGTTTCCATTTTTGCCATTGCAGATGTCTTGATGAATGGGTTTTAACATCAACTACTTCATTTACCATTTTTGGTTGGGAAGGATGATCACAAATGGAATAACTAGAACACATTTTTAAGATGTAGGAACAATCTTACCAAACTGCTCTCCAGAAACATTCTAATAAATTTGCATTTGGCCCAGGACGAAAACAGTGAGGGAACACCTATCTCATTCCACTGCTTGCCAACCATAACTCCCACTTTGCCAATATTTTGCTGCAATTCCACTTGCTATAGTGAGGTTGATATACTTATTATTTTTGATATTTTTACTATTTCTGCTTTTCTTTATATGAATCTCTTAGTCTTTGGATTGTCAATGTGAGCTTTTGATATGTCTCAAAAGGTTAATACTGTTTCATATTTATTGTAAATGGTTTATGGATTATTCTTTGTCTTCTAACTTTGTTTAGGTTGCTTTCTGGAAAAATGAGTTACATCTTTATGCAAATATTTTTTATGCAGTCAAATTTATCAGTAAATTTCATCATGATTTTTTATTGCTTTTAAACTAAAACAATCTTAGGAAATTTATTACCAAATGAGAGGAATATTCACCTATATGTTCTTCTGTGTTATATTCCACTTTTTATCTACACATCAACTGATCAGGAGTGCACATTTGTGCACACACAAACACAAGCATACTGCGAGGTTAGGATCTGTCTGGATATTTATTAAATAAGTAAATATAAATATTAAATAAATTGCTAATTTATTGGAAATTCCCTTTTTAAAAACAGTGTTTATGATGTTATCTTTAATTTATATTAAATTATTAGGCATAGTTGGGTCCATTTCTGGTATATTTATTCTCTCATTCCATAATCCATTCTTGTAGCAGAATTGCATTAGCTTTATAGCCTTCTAGTATCTAGTAAAAGGATCTATTTTATTTTTTTCCTTTTTCAAGATATTTTGTCATTACTTTCTTTCTATGTATTCTTCAAGATCAATTTCAAAGTTCCGTTGTCAGGTTAAAAATTACCCCATTGACCGTGTCCTTATTATTATTACAGAGTTAGTTGTGTGTGCTTGCCAAACATATCCCATTTAGTGATACTTACATAGATGGTAAATCTATGAAGAAAAGCGTAGGAAAGATCCATACAAAAATTAGGATAGTGCTTGCTTCTGGGAAGGAGGGAAGTGATGTGTTAGGAAAGGTACATTGAGTCTTAAAGTATTGGTAGCAGTCCATTGCCTCACTCGCATGGTGGTACATTAGTTATCTATTGGTAATAACAATATTTCCCCCAATTCAGCAGCTTAAAAATATATACATTTGTTGTCCCATGGTTTCTGTAGGTCTGGAGTCTGGGCACAGCTTAGGCATGTTCTCCGCTGGGCTATAATCAAGATGTGGTCTCATCTGAGGTTCTACTGGAGAAGGAGCTGGTCCCTGGCTCATGCGATTGTTGACAACACTTAAGTTTCCTACTAGCTACTGCTGAGGGCCTTAGGGTCTTGCTGGTTATGGACTAGAGGCTGCCCCTAGTTTCCAGCCATGTGGCCAACTCAGAAGGGCAGCTCACAATACAGCATATTATGGATGTTACCATCTTCTGTAACACACACACACACACACACACACACACACACACAATCACATATGCCCCCTCGCTTTTGTTATAGTCTCTATGTCTAGAGGTAGGTCACAGGTTCTACCCACACTCAAAGGGAGGGATCATACAAGAACATGAAAGCCAGATCATAGGGCCTTCTTAAGAGTCTATCTACCCTAGATGGTTACATGGGTGTTCATTTAATTATTTATTAAACTGTGTGTGTGTGTGCATGTGTGTATAATATTTCTAAACCCGTGATATGTTTCACAATTTAAGATATTAAAAACTGTAAAGTATGTTTTTTGATAAATTAGTTTGGAACTTACTGCGCCCAGGAATAGCCAAGCAAAAAGAACCTCATGGCATAGGTGACTGAATCTGAAATAAAGTGCGGAAGTGACTCAAGTGCTCAGGAGAGCTAACTTTTTCCTTTTGAGATACTTTGAAGTTGCTACAAACTCAGAAGGCGCTCTGTATTGTACTTGGGACTTTTTGAATTGTTTCAAAATTATTTCGATGCCTAGTTTTTATTTGAAAAAAAAAAAGGAAATTTCTTTAACTTAAACTAACTTGAAAGGAATTGACAAGTTTTACAATATTTACCATGTGCACAGACCATGTCTCCAAAGGTTAAATCTTCTCTAATATCCCTTAATAAAGTTTGGTGGTTGTATTCATTAACCTCCCTCACCTCTTTTGCTAAGTTTATTCCAAGTGTTTCATGTTTTTGTTGATGTTATGAATGGGATCTTTGTTTTTAAGTATGATTTCTGCTTCCTGTTGCTTTTCACCAGAAAAATGACTGAATTTTGGATATGTACCAAAATTTTTGTTAAATGACTGTTTTATAACAAAAGTCTCTATTAAATAGCTAATGGCTCTGCTCCCATATTAATTTTAATTTCTTTTTTCTTGGGTTCTCTAGGTACATCGTGGTGACATCTGGGAACTCTGGCTTTTTTTTTTTTTTTTTTTTTTTGCCTCCTCTTTACCAGTGGCTATAATCCTGATTTATGTCTCCTGGAAGCAAAGTTCTTAAAATATGTTAACCTTCAGAGTCAGATAAATCCAAGACTGTTAACAGCTTTCTTGGGCAAGTCACTTAACCTCTCTGTGCCTCAGTTTCCTCTTTTGTAGCCTGGGACCATCACGGACTTTTCTGAATTGGGTAATTGTGAAGATAAGAAAAATACCTACTTTTAGTGTAGTATTTGCCTCAAAATACAGCACATGTTAGATAAAATGTAATTGTTACTATATTTTAAGAGGAGCTTACATGAAAATGGCAAGAGACACCCGGGTTGTTAATACCGAGCCGAGTGGTGGGAGCAGGCGTAAATTGATGTATGATGTATGTTGCATTTCCTTCCTCCAAGGAGCCATGCTAGGTGCTTTCCAAGCATCTTCTTCATCAAGCAACAGCCGTAGGGAGGTGTAATGGCTATTCTAGCATCGCATAACTCACTTGGAGGGAAGTGGGACTCAAGCCCAGCCCGCCTTGCTGCAAAGCCTGTGCTCATCGCTGCTGGTCTGTTCTGAGGGGAGCATCAGACATTCATTCTGCCCAGGGGCTCTCAACTTTGGTCAAACATTAGGAGCATCTGAGGATCTCTAGCAATGCATCCATGTCTGAGCCCCACCACAGACTAAATGGATCTGGCTCTTTGAGGGTGACTCCAACATTGCTATCCTTTCAAGGCTCCCTAGGAGATTGTAATGGCCAGGGTTGAGGACCACTAATGGCTCCAGAGTGACCTCTATAACATTGACATTTCAGACAGTAATCATGGAAGTCTGGAAGTCTGGCCCCACATTTCCAGGTGAGTTCAAGTTCATCCTCCCTGTCTTTGCCATAAACGAATCCATCCTTGTTGCCTATGAGGATTGATTCTATGTACCAACATAGCTGGGCCACAGTGCCCAGATACGTGGTCAAACATTGCCCTGCATGTTTCCATGAAGGTGTTTACTGGATGAGATTAACATTTAAATCAGTACACCTCAAGTAAAGCAAATTGCCCTCCATAATGTGGGTGGGCCTCGTCTAATTAGTTGGAGGCTTTCAGAGGAAAAAGACTGACCTTCTTTGAGCAAGAAGGAACTCTGCGACAGTCTTTGGGCTTGGCCTGCAACTCTCCTCTGAGTCTGCAGCCTGCTGGTCTGCCCTACAGATTTTGGACTTGTGCTTCCACAAATCATATGAGCTGATTCCATGATACACATCCTATTGGTTCTGTTTTTCTGGAGAACTCTGACTAATCACTACCATAAAGGAAATTGACCTCTTATTCCACACAAACATAAATAAAGCACCATACTTTCATTTTCCTTTGAAAAACTGTAACTAGAGAAGGGGTCACTGAGAGCCATAGATTTTCAGTCTAGTGGAGAAGAATATAGATCACTCGGTCCAACTGAAACAGAGGCATGAAGGTAGAAATAACCCTGGAATGATTCTGCCCCTCAGGAGACAGTCAGCAGTGTCTGGAGACATTTTTGTTGTTGTCACGAGGTGGGTGGGGGATGAGGGACAGGGGTGGGGGTGCAAGGGTGCTCAGGCACCAAGTGGGCAGAAGGGCCGGCGATGCTACTAAACATCCTGAAATGCACAGAATTATTGTTTAAACATAACTACCCAAGTTGCGAAACCCTAGTTAGGATGGAGAAAGAGTTAGTCATTAAGGAAATTAGCTTCTCACCCTGTGAGAGGAAGGAGGATTGCAGTCAGATCAGGAAGGAGTCCTAACGAGGCAACAGGAGTCTGACGGGCAGACTGGACAAGTAGGCAGGACAAATATTACTGGAAGGGCCAAGCGACTTCAGGCAAACTCTTGAGAAACTGGCCCTACCGTGGAGGTAGGCCTGGGAGTCCAGCCAGCGGGAACCTCACGGGCATGATGCGGCTCAAATCAGGCTCCTAAGCGGCTGTGAGCTCAGACGCTCTCCCCAAGGCGCCAGGTCTGAGCACTCGACCAGAGGCGGTGAGTAGCTGTCTTGTGTTTTGTGGCTGCAGCTTGTGTGGTTGTTTTAAATATCGGGGAGCCCTATGAGCAGAGCTGGGCGGCCGGAGCTCTCTCTCTCCAGGGTGCTGACGACGGAGGCTTCGCATCCTCCCTTCTCGGGAACTGGGCTACTCGGGTGGCCGCCGCCTGTGATGTTCTGAACACAAGGCTGCGCCTAGACAGCCAGCGCTCAGTAAGCGTGTGCTAAAGCAATCACGAAGAAGTGGAAAAGGTGAATTCGTGATAAGCAAGTGGTACTTCAGTCCCTTCATCTGTAAGGTGGGGAGGTGGTCGTGTAAAGCCAAGCGGGATGATCGAGTGACGGGAGTGAGAGAGTTCACGTCCCGGAGGATGTTTCCAGGATGGCGTGAGAAACAAAGAAAACCAGAAAAAGCACAGCTGCAATGAGATGAATGGCAACCAGCACACACGCGACCAACGCAACAGAAGCAGGTTGGACATGCGTGTTGGAGGGCACGTGAATGTCCAGGGAAGCCTTTGAATTTACCGTGAGCTCCATGTGAGACAAGAGCCCTGCGCCGCCTTTAATGAAACTAGATTCCACTGGAGCAGAAGAGGAGCTGGAGGGAGAGGCGGAGCTGGCCTGCTCCGTCAGGCCACCACATCCTAGCCACCACATCCGAGGGCACAGCCGGGGGAGTTACAGGGACTGCTTGGCAGAGGGACCCAGGGCCCTATTCACTCATTTATTCATAGGTGCATCTGGCAAACAGGACTGCTGCATTCCCCATAGCTGCTGTAACGAATTACCCCAAATTCAGCAGCTTGAGCAACATACATTTGTTATCTTAAGGTTCTGGAGGTCAGGAGTCTGAGATGGGTGTCTTCAGGCTAAAATCAAGGTGTGAGCAGGGCCACGGTCCATTCTGGGGACTCTCAAGGAGCGTGCATGCCCTTGGCCTCATAGCTTTGTGAGGACGCTCCTATTCCTCCGCTCAGGGCTCCTTCCCCATCCTCTGAGCCGGGCGGGGGTGGGCAGGCTCCTTCCCACATCACAGCTCTCTGACTCTCTCTCCTCTGCTTCCCCCTTCCATTTTTAAGGACCTTTGTGATTACATGAGGCTCACCCGGATAATCCAAGATAATCTTCCTATACTAGGGCCAGTTTATGAGCAACTCTAATTCTATCTGCGACCTTAATTCCCTTGTGTCACGTAACCAAACCTAGCCACAGGTTCAGGGGATTCACGCGTGGAGTCATGGGTGGGGAGAGAGAATCGTCATGCAGTATTTTTTTCCTAAAGATTTTATTTATTTATTCATGAGAGACAGAGAGAGAGGCAGAGACACAGGCAGAGGGAGAAGCAGGCTCCATGCAGGGGAGCTTGATGTGGGACTCGATCCCAGGATCCCGGGATCATGCCCTGAGCCGAAGGCAGACGCTCAACCACTGAGCCACCCAGGCACCCCTCGTCACGCAATATTGCAGAAGCAGACTCGCACAGATCAAATCTGTGTCCTTTGAGGGTCAGCCGTATATCTCCGATGCACAAGGAACTTCTGGAAATTACCCAGAAAGACAGGAATGATGATGGATGAATGGGGAAGGATATTGATGAGCAAATCGCGGCTGCGGAAACAGGAAGCCCAGCTGATGCTTTGAAGAGTTTCCACTGAAGTGAATTCCCAGAGGCTTGAAGATGAAACCAATGCACCCATTTGACTGGTTCCAGTGGGAGACTGGGTGATTCACTGCTGAGTGCAGGCCCCCGTGTGTGAGGCACAGGAAAGGCTACTATTAGGGACAATGAGGTCTGAGCAGGTGATGCTCAGTGTTGGGGGAGATGCGGGCATGGGTACCAACCTCACTGGAGATGAGGATGTGGCTGGAGCAAACTTTCTGAAATTAAATAACGTCGTTATTATCTAGAGCCCAATAATTGGAGCCAAGCAAACCCTACCCCCACCCCCGAGCCCACAAGGGGACGTCTATGAGCACATTCACTGCTGTGCTGGCCCAGAGCTGCAGGCTGGCGAGGTCTCCGTCCCGGGGTAATGATTTCCTGAGTCCAGTGAAGAAGCTGGTACCATTTCTCCTATTTTACAGATGAACAAACTGAAGCTCAGGGAAGTTAGAGTCACTTGACCAAGGTCATACTGCTCATAAATGACAAGGTGGAGACTCATATCCCTGTTCCCAAGTCAGTGTATTTGTCCACGAGACCATCCTCTCATGACAGAAGGGTGGGATTGTCGAAAAGCCCTCCTTCCTGTCACTGTCAGCCCTCCTTCCCATCTTGTATTCCTTCCTTTGTTCCAGATAAAAGCAGGAGAAAAGGCAACAATGACAGGAAAGAGATCCGGAAGGAGTGAGGGTGGAGGAGTCAGTCAGTTTGCCCTCCTAGAGCTCTGACTTACCCTCACCACCCCCCATGATATTTTGCATAATAAAAATTCCTAAAAGAAAACTAACAACGAACACATATTAAAAGCCCAGTTTACATCTCTGTTGGTTGATCCTCACAGCAACCCCGTGAAAGCTTTACAGACCATAAGAACAGAGACCAGAGAGGTTAGGTAACTCACCCGGGGTCACACAGCTGGAGCAGGAAGCCCGGCAGTCGGAGGCTGTGCTCCACTCCTGCAGGAAGCTGGGTTAGTCTGGGAGCTGCGCCGTGAGGCAGGCCCACCAGCCTGGTTTGGTGCCTGCTCTGCTCCGGGCCAACTTCATTTTGGATGGGTCACTGACCCACCCCCAAGCCTTGGTTTTCGTGGCATCGGGTATGGGTAAGACGGTGTTCTCTCCTACTGTTGTTATGAGGTGTAACATCTGCAAGGTAATCAACAAATGATTGTCAGTCATGTGTCATTGTTGTGAATTAATTGCACACGTGTTCCCTCAAGGGAACAGAGCCAAAGGCCCCCAGAAGGAGCGTGGGAGGCTGTGTTCTGTGTGCGGGCCCTTTGGGGTGGCCAGAGGATCCCCAAGGAGTGGATGTTGGAGGGAGGGTGGTGATTGCATTTAGGAAGCAAGTGAAGGAGCGGGGGTTGAGGCGCCAGGCCCTGGCAAAGAGACCAGGTGGGTTCAGCTGACTTACGCGGGCCTGGAAAATCCAGCCAGGGTTGGCTCTGGATGCTTGAATGAGGGAGAAAAAGACATGGGAGAGAGCCAGCCCCCAAGCTTTGGCACCTGACAGATCTGACTTAGAGTCTCTCCTCATCTCAGCCCTCGTGTGACCTTGACACCTTCCTTAGACTTTCCTTGCTCAGACAGGGGCTCTTGATGGGTCCTTTACAAGGCACCTGGAAACTCTGGGAGATGAGCTCAGGCCTGCAGGGTGCCTGGCATGGGGCAGTGGCTTAGAAAGCCGCACCTGCCCTGCCAGCTGAGGGCCCAGAACACAGGGGTCTGAGCTCAGCTGGCCTTGGACGGAGTCTGTCCTCGTGACCACAGACAGTGGGCCCCATTCACCTGCTTGGGCTTCCTGATTTCTTCTTTACAAAACCAGGAAGAAAAACTGGTGATGTTCCTTGGCAAATCCCCCCAGGGCTTTTGGTCCACGCAGTTAATTCTTATAATAAAGACACAGTCTCTCTCTCTCTCTCTCTCTTTTTTTTTTTTTTAACTTGACTCTTAGAAGATCAAGATGGGTTTTTTAATGAAATGTTAAAAGTCAGAATTGGGAGAAAATAGCACCAGACAAAAGAGGGGAAGACTCTAAGATATTATCTGTTTCCCTGTGTTCCCATCTTGCTCCAGCACCAAAACCCAGCAGAGGAATAGAGCGTGTTTTTCAGCGGACGCATGCGTACGACAGACAGCAAGGACCAACATCGTGACTGACCTTATAAATGGAGCACTGGTTCTCTGGAGCCCTTGCAGCCTTTCCCCAAGAAGTAGCCAGTCTTCCATTTTCATACATGAGCATTTAAATAGTGGAAACAGGGAAAGGAAAAGGAGTCATCATAAAGCATCATGGGAGGAAAGCACTGGGATGGAAGAGCTTGTCAGATGTTCACTAGATGGGCCGATGGGGTGCGTTCCTATGTCCTCTTTGGGCCTCCAAGCGGACAATCTGCACGGAAGGAGCCTGGATATAATTTCCTGGCTGAGGACCTCGGCTCTGCTCTCAGTACTGCTCCGATCTCCAGGATGACAGTCACTGCCAATGATTAACAGGCAGCGCACTGGAGCAGACCCTGGCAGGAAGGTCATCTCAGTGCAGGCTCCGCGCCTGGCGGATTGCCTCTCCTTCCTCTGCACCCTGGCGCTGCACTTCTTATGACTACATTTGACTTCATAACCTGGTGTTTGTAAACATGGGTATAAGTGCTTGGTGCTCATGGTGTGGGCTGGTCCTGTCCGTATCTGAGTGCTGCTCAAGAACACGCTCCAGTAACAGTTGAACTAGCCTTTAATTGCACTTTTAGAACTAAATCACTGAACTTTTCATGGGCACTTTCTATAAGTCAGACACCATGCTGACTGTATGGGGTGTAGTAGTGACAGAGACAAACAGTCCTTGTTTGCCCCCAAACAAGGACACAGCAAACACCAGGCAGCAGACAGAATGATCAGAAAGGGTGACAAGCTCCAGGAAGGATGCAAACCAGGGACTGGATAGAGAAGAAAGGCAGGGCTTGGCACCAGTGTAGAGAGGTCCCCCAGTGCAATGGGAAGCTGGCGATGACCATACCGGAGAGGTACTGAGAGCGGTGGCAGCCGGGTGACAGAAGAGATGATGTTGAGAGACAATTTGGGTCTGGAGCCAGTGAGTATTACTGATGTACAATGAGGTTGAAAAGGAAGCAGAAGGAACCATGATGCTGCTAAGGTTTCTAGCTACCCAAGGAAGGTGGGAGAGCTGCTTACTGAGATGTTGGGGCAACGGGGGACCCAGGATGGGGGATAGGTTTGGGAAACTCAAGAGTCTATGATCCATCCAGGTGGTAATGTCTAGTGCATAGTTGGATGTGCCAGTCTGGAGCTTAGGGGAGTGTTCTGGATCAGATAGACA